GTATGTGTGCCGCTGTGTCTCTGTTCGAGCCATAGAGCGACAAAAACAGACACTGACACGGGTCAATCGCACACACAACCACACCCACGGCCACACACACACACTCGCATAGACACACCCATCACACATTGTTATTCATAATATTTATAGTGCCTCGGGTGTTGTTAAATATTATAAAACTTGATTGCGCTTTAATCACAAGGGCGCTGCCCAATCGAAGTTTGCTGCAGCCAAATCTCATTTCCGAGTTAATGCAGCGGTTATTATATTAACTTTGCCAAGGGGTCAGAGATTGACATAGAATTTTTCCTTGTTAGTATTATCATGTTATTATAATTATAATTGTTACTATTATTATTGTTAATTTATATATTAATATCTGGCAGCTATAAAATGAAAGATATTGAATCTGTATATGCTATTCTAGAAGCTAAGATAAACTCGTACTGCGCTGGCACTGGGAGGACCTACCTTCAAAATTTCAAGCATATAGCTCTTATAGGTTGTGAGATCGACACACATGCGGACGGGCGTACAGAAGAAAGGACGGAGAGGCGGAAAAACGGATAGACAGACGGAAGGACGGACGGACAAACAGTTGAACAGACGGAAGGACGGAGAGACGGACGGATAGACGGATGGATAGACGGATGGAGAGACGGATGGAGAGACGGATGGAGAGACGGGCAGAGAGACGGATGGAGAGACGGGCGGAGAGACGGACGGAGAGACGGGCGGAGAGACGGGCGGAGAGACGGACGGACGAACAGTTGAACAGACGGAAGGACGGATAGACGGACGGATAGACGGATGGAGAGACGGATGGAGAGACGGGCGGAGAGACGGATGGAGAGACGGGCGGAGAGACAAACGAAGAGACGGACGGAGAGACGGGCGGACATATAGATATATGGATTTACTTTATGAGTCCTAAGATTTAACTAATTACTGTAGACTGTAGATGTTTAACTTCCTGTTAAAAATATATATATCAAGCATATTTTTTAATTTACATTATTCGATTCTTAATCTTCTAACGACAAATTCCATATACATACATACATAGCATCACGTTAAATCTGAACCAGATGTGGTTGCCATTCATGGGCCCTATTAAGAAATTTGCATCGATGATGGATAATATGATTAGATAGCTAACAAGTGAGCAAACTGTCGGTGAACTGAAGAGTTTGTTTAAAAATTTCTAGTAGCAGTGCCTAAAAAAGTTTTAGGAAAGGATGTTAGATTACATATAAAATGTATGCATATATTTGCAGGCGCCTTTCTTGTGCCCTACTGCATTATGTTGGTTGTGGGGGGCATACCTCTATTCTACATGGAACTGGCCCTGGGACAGCACAATCGTAAGGGCGCCATCACCTGCTGGGGGCGTCTGGTGCCGCTATTTAAGGGTGAGTAGAAAAGGGGGTAAACATAATTATTTGATGCATATACGGCGATATATACGTACATATATTTTAGGTATCGGATACGCTGTTGTGCTAATAGCTTTCTATGTGGACTTTTATTACAATGTGATCATTGCGTGGTCGCTGCGTTTCTTTTTCGCCTCCTTTACCAGTGTGCTGCCCTGGACGTCGTGCAATAATCCGTGGAATACGCCCAACTGCAAGCCGGTAAAGTCAACGCAGTTGACATTCATTTATTTATATTCACCTTTTGCTCATCGCAGTTCGAGGGTCAGAATTCGCGTCCGCTGGTTGGCAATCTGAGCGATTTCTATGCGTTCAACAATCAGAGTCTGTTCTTTGCCAACGAGTCGTATGCGAATGTTACATTTGCTAGCTTGGCGCCCGTTGTGCCCGTCGAGAGATTCCAATCGGCCGCCTCCGAGTACTTTAAGTGAGTGGCACACACACACACACACACACACACACACACACACACACACACACACACACACGCACACACACTCATACACAATTTAAACTTAATTTATATCCCATTTACAGCCGCTATATACTTGAGCTGAATCACAGCGAAGGCATTCATGATCTGGGCAAAATCCGTTGGGACATGGCGCTGTGTCTGCTTATTGTTTATCTGATTTGCTACTTCTCCTTGTGGAAAGGTATTAGCACTTCGGGTAAAGTGGTCTGGTTTACGGCGCTCTTTCCGTATGCTGTGCTGCTTATTTTGCTAATACGCGGCATCACCTTGCCGGGCTCTGCCATGGGCATACAATACTATTTGAGTCCAAAATTTGATGCCATTTTCAAGGCTGAGGTGTGGGTCGATGCGGCCACGCAGGTGTTCTTCTCCCTGGGACCGGGCTTTGGTGTGCTGCTCGCCTACGCATCGTACAACAAATATCACAACAATGTGTACAAGTATGTCCTAATTCGTATATATATTGTATTCAATGTGTTTTTCATGAGCTATGTATTTTACAGAGATGCTCTGCTTACCAGTTTCATAAACTCGGCCACGAGTTTTGTGGCCGGCTTTGTGATCTTCTCCGTGCTGGGCTACATGGCGCACACATCGGGCGTGCGAATCGAGGATGTGGCCACCGAGGGTCCGGGTCTGGTGTTTGTTGTCTATCCAGCGGCCATTGCCACGATGCCGGGCAGCATTTTCTGGGCGCTCATCTTCTTCATGATGCTGCTAACCCTCGGGCTGGACAGCTCCGTGAGTATTCAATGCGTCCAGTAGGTCAGCATGGAAAGAAGGTAACTTTAATTTGCCTGGCTTTGCTTCTGCTTCTTTTGACAGTTTGGTGGATCGGAGGCTATTATCACGGCTTTAAGCGACGAGTTTCCCAAGATTAGGAGAAACCGTGAACTCTTTGTGGCCGGGCTGTTCTCGCTGTACTTTGTCGTTGGCTTGGCCAGCTGTACCCAGGGCGGCTTCTATTTCTTTCATTTGTTGGATCGCTATGCCGCCGGCTACTCCATACTCGTCGCGGTGTTCTTTGAGGCGATCGCCGTTTCCTGGATCTATGGCACAAAGCGTTTTAGCGATGATATCAACGATATGATTGGCTTTCCGCCGGGCATGTATTGGCAGGTGTGCTGGCGTTTCGTTGCCCCCATTTTTCTGCTCTTCATCACGGTTTACGGCCTGCTGGGCTACGAGCCGCTCACCTACGGGGATTACGTGTACCCCAGCTGGGCAAATGCCTTGGGCTGGTGCATAGCCGGCTCCTCGGTGATTATGATACCGGCGGTGGCCATTTATAAGCTCATTGTTACACCCGGCAGCTGCAGGCAGCGTTTGCGTACTCTCACAACTCCTTGGCGGGATCAGCAGCTGGCGGCGGTTAATGGAGTTACCACGGAGGTGACTGTCACACTGGTGCGTCTGGCTGACGGCGAGGCGGATGATGCTGCCGATGTCTGAGTTCGACCGATTGCACGCTTTCAAGTGTATTACGTATAGATTTGAAAGAGATTTACCAACAACTTTTACACTAACATCAACCTTGACATCAACTTTAACATCAACTTGAATGTGTGTGTTTGTAGCCTGGCCTCGGCTAGAATTGATTTATGTTTAACTTTCAGCTTGGCTCTTAGGCAACAGGCACCTAGGAATCTAATGCAAATTTCGCATACAACGTACTTACTTAGGTTTCGACACCAAAGAAAAAAGAAAAATGTAGCTCAAAACCATAAGCCTACAGTTAAGATTAGCCCGTAGTTTCATGTTGCGTTGCATTTACACTAAATACACCCTATTCATATATATACTACATATAAATATATAGTTCACAATATTATGCATACATAAAGGTATGTTTGTATATTTACCAAAACGCTGTGTAGATAATACAGAAATATTTAAGTAAACAATAACGAAATTGTAATTGTTTAATTGATATTGCACTTAGCCAAGTTTGTGTGCAGCATATGCAACAGGGAATTAAAGGTACGATTCACTCTTAAGACCCCCAAATGGATGTCAGAGTTTGTATATGTACAGACCTAAATAGCTTTATTATATAGTGCGTATAGCTCGAATGTCTGTTTAGCTGAAGCTTTAGCCAGAATGTGTTATGTATATAGGTTTAAGCCATCAATAGCTTACCTAGTTACCAATTTGTAGTTTTGTCAACCAAAAAAATATTACAGAACATCCCTGCCAAATACTTTTTATATGCTTAACTCAGGCAAAGTCTTTTTCACACAGCCATAAAAAGATTTTGCCATAATTTATAGAATTTACATATATTCAGATTGTTTCTGTTAACACCCGTTAGAAAATTTGTATCTAATTTGTAGCTAAATTTTAAGTGTTATCATAAAAACAAAATGTTAAAAGACAAAAGCAAAGTTGGCAGCCATCAACTTTGCTTTGAATTTATGATTAGGTTGAACAAGAGTTGATTTTCAATGCACTTTCACGCAGCCATGTGAAAGTGCAATGTGATGAACAAATATCAAATGTATTCAATTTATGCTCAGTTGTTTTATGTTCTATTAAATAAATGTATTTTAAGTTGGAATAACAAAAAAAACATGTGTTATTATTATGGCGGGTGAATAAAGGGGAGACGTTGCGAAGCAGCAAAAGGCGCAGTCACGAAATTGACGTAAAAGTGGAAATTCCTGCTGAATAGTAAGTATAAATGCTTAAACTATTGTTATACATTTCAATAACTAAATTAATTTCAACAATTTTTACTATACACCCTATTTGAGAAAGGCCTCTTTTTGAGCATTAAGAAAGTAGGCCGTCTGTCTGTCTATCTGTCTGTTTTTCTTAGGAGGCAAGCTCCATATTTTTCATATTTCTAAGACGAAGAATATTAAATTTTAATTTAGACACATGGGAGCTATAGGCAATATTGCATTAAATTATTAAATACACGTTAGAAATTATAAATTTACCACCTGGGATTTACTTTTCCAGTGCTCCCCATCAAAATAATTGTCTTGCTTTTATTTAATCAAAGATATTCAAACAGTTTCTTTCAGTTGCATATTTAAGAGCATTATTTTATTATTATTATAATTTCTTAATTCATTTTCGTCTAACTCTCATTTAAACGAGTACATTTGTTAAGTTCATATATTTGGAATATAAAAATTGCAAATCAATCATACGCACTATCATAAAGTAAATGGTTAATGGGTGGCATATGACTTTTATTTAACTGAAATTTATAGATGAAAGTTAAATGTTTACATTTAAAGCTGAACGTATGTGGATGAATGTAAATGTATCTGAATTTGTAAGCAGCGTTCTTTTGTCTGGTTTTGTGTGCGTTATATATATATATAAGTATTTAAAAATAACAATATATGTGTCTGCACGGCTAAGCAATCGTACATAGATATTCCATATAAAGGTTTTAGCTCAATAAAATATGCATTTAGCCGTTTCCAGCAATACTTTTATGTGTGATACGTATGTCGGGATGCTAGCGCCTTATTTGGTATGCACAGATTATTTTTTGGTATTTGTTGCGGTTGCTTTAATACCCTTGCAGAGAATGACATATTTGTAGCAAATCAATAAATATAGAAATATGTCGATCTGAGTCGACGTAGTCAAGTCCTTCAGACAGTTTCTGCAGTTTGTGCATATCTGAACGGATTACTATAGTCAATAGTTACCAGGAATATTCAAAGACGAAGAAAATGCATTGCATTCAAATATCTGCCTTCAACAAGGGTATTTAATCTTCGGCAATCCGAAGTGAACTATTTTCTTGCTTGTTTACGTATGCTGTTAAAAAATAGTTTGCGACAGGACAATTATTTCATTTGTGCTTTTTATTATATTGATTATTTGTGGTGCATTTTACGTATTTTGGTCTGTTTAGGTGCCTTAAAGGGGGGAAATTGGTTGGAGTTCTGAACGAAGAAACATTGCAGAAGCTTGTTCAGCCTCTAAGCCTTGGGTCAGGCATCGAAACTGCGAATTAAATGAATTGTTAAATACCCGAAAAATGCCTGAACGTGCTCAGTTTGTTATTAGTTAGTACTTTTACATATGTATATATATATAATATATATTGTTTTGTAACTTGGTATACAGTAGTTTAATTACTTCAATTATTTTGTAAATATGTATGAAGTCTGTCTCTAATATTCGATCATTCAGTTGGCGCTTATACAAATTTTGCTATGTGGTGGCCCTTTTCATTAATTTTCTTCTGCAAGGACCTTTCGCTGGTTTTTGTATTTGTATATTTGCAGTCTACGTAAATAGCTTCTTTTTTTTTTGTATTTTTGCCTAGCTGAATGTGTGTATAATGTATGAATATATATGTTTGCAACTATTGCCTAAAATACCATTGCACAAGTATGGAAGTGTAACTAATAAACGGACGCATTTTTAATAACTTCAAGCCAAATGGTAAAACAGCAAAGGACGAATCATAATTAACAAAAAAGTAAGCTAGTGCTCGACTATGAAATACCCAAGGGTTTTATTTATATTTGATTCATTTCCTGAGCCGTAAAAATACGAGTTTCTCGGAGCCGGAACGGAACACAATATTAAGTCCTTTATAATCTATAAATACAGGGTATATATGCTGCAGGGCAAGACATACGCCTGCACGGCCTATGACTCAAAGGACACATATAGGATGCACTGGTATATGATCTTCAGCAAGCCGAAGTATTCTGATGAATTATGGTTCAGTGTATATATATGGAGTTGTTTCCGTGGAAACTTGCAATATCCTGTCACATTTAGCTTTGTCTTGTGTGCACCTGTATCTATGTGTGCACATCTACAAGTGAGTACGTGGGCTTGATAATTGATAATTGATATTATTGATATGATTGCGTTGATGAGTTGCGTTTACAGTTTCTGGCATGTGATTACTTGGAATCCAAGCACACACACGAATACGAATACATATATATATATATATATATATGAGCATATATTTAATATTATTAAGCTGTTTCGACTGTCTTAGTTTGAGTAAAACTGATTTGTGTACAATAAATCAACCATTTGTTCCACTGGAAATGCTTAATGAGTATGAGCAACAAATATTGTTATCCTTCTCTAGTTGTATGTTTGTTGCATTGTTTTGTTTACTTTATGTTATGGATGTGTATTCGCTCAATTGAAAGACACATTTGAATTGACGCACGACATGTTTATGAGCCATAATTACTCGCATATATCTATATGTATATGTGTGTATATATACTTAGTATATATTTACAATGGGATTACTTAAATTGAGGCTTGATTTAAAATCTAGTATGAATACGAATGCGAATTTCGGTGGCTGTGTGTGAGTGCGTGTGTGAGTGTATGCATATTTAAAAATTATGCGTCTAGATTAAAATCAAATTTGAACTTTTGTTTATGCGCCCAAATGAGATGCATGCTTATAAAATAATAGATTAATGATTTAATATATAAGAAGCGCAACATTTATTGAATAAATAACTAGTTGTAACATTAGCATTTTCATTAAAATTGAAAATTATATTTTCACTATAATGCACATCGTTTTCATTCATTTATAATGTTGTAGTTGACAAAATAATTGCATAAAGCCTAAGATAGATAAATCAAACACGTATCTAAGTGTAATTTATAATTGTTCAGTATATATCGACAACTTTAACTGATTATAGGAAAGAAGCCTAGAGCACGCTTAAGTTTACATGTGTTGCACCAAGAGATTTCACATTAATTTTATCATTCTATAATTTGTTTTATAATTGTTATGATTTATATGCATGTATGTGTGTGTGTGTGTGTATGTATGCAAATGTTTACATTAATAAGTATATTCGGTATATCAAATCTAACAATATTTAGGCTAGTCAATTTTAACTAATTCAATAATACATACAAAACATTTGTTTACTTACACACTGCATAATTATAGCCTGTTTACGATAAATAGCTTATATACTTATATAATTGATGTGTATTTTTGAAATACAACTTGTAGTTGCTTAGCTTATAAATGTTTTGATTCTGCATATATCAATCAATATCAATCTAGCCAAGCTTAGGTCTGCTGTATGGAACTCAAGAAAGCCGGATCCACGGAAGCAACCTTGGCGGTGAGGAACGCATGCATGCAAAATAGCAAGCTTTGCAGTACCTGGCACTCTAATTCCTAGCAAATGATAGAATAAATTATATGAATTATGTATAGGTAACAGCTAGCTTGATTAGGATTAACCAGTTGAAGTGTCTAAATATAGTCATGGCATACGTAACTTGCCTTTGTTTCGATGGCCCGCGTCTCGTTGTCCTGAAAATGTAGCTTCAACTTTGATTTGCCATCGTCGCTGGAGCCGCGCAACTGTGAGAATTTATACTGCCAGACCATGGTGGAATCGGCGCCCTCTGTCAGTGAGAAACCCGCCTGCCAGTCAAGTGTCAGTCCGCCACTTTTGCCGTGATGTGAAACGGCAAAGGTCTTGCGCTACAAATGTGAGCATATATATATATATATATATATATATATAGATGTTGATATAGATATAGCTATAGATGTAGTTATTAGCTGGATACATTTGTGGGCGGGGGCTGCACACTTTATTGATTGAAATCAACTGCTAATTATTAAGTATACGCTCCATCGGACTCTAATAGCTGACGCACTTTCAATACAAATATTCTAGCCACAAAAAACAACAGAGTACAAAAGTTCAATAATCCCTTTGTGTCCTGTCTGTGTAGTCGACCTAACAATTGCGAATTCGTATCGATTCTGGCGTTTGCCAAAATGTCCTTTTTCTGTGTGCGTCGCTTTTGTCGGTCATTGGCTTTGCTTTGACTTTTTAACTACTAACAAGTGTTGTGTCTACACACTGCGATGGGTGTGCGTGCGAGACAAAAACTTACAACATTAAACAAAATGTCACCAACTTTTTGGCAATAATTTCTTTTTAGATAGGAGTAAACAAAAACCTTGACTAACGTTTGAAAATCAGCGCGAGCTTCTAAATAATTTATGAAATTTAAAAGCAATAATGATAATTGCAACTTTAAATTTATGAACACATTTTAAATGATTGCAATTGAAATGCAGAAGAGCCTGTTGCAAATCTTATATTTTTATGTTACTGCAACATTTGATTACTCGAATGGGTAGTTCTTATGTACTCATATCGATTGCCCTTGAGGTCAGCAGCCATGGCCTTTAGTTCAACGCCAATTAAGGCGAGTGGAGTGGAGGGAGGGTGGGTGGTGTGTCTTGTCTATAAATTAACAAGCAATCGGCAATCACGATACTCTTCTTTTGCATAGTGCCTAGCCGGACGGCTAATTACAAACAAACATGCGAAATTATCAACAGGGGAACAAGGCATGTGCATATACATGTATGTATAGAAAAGTCTGTGCATTTAATGGAGGTCAGGGGTACAGGCCATCCCGTCGGATATCTAGCGTTGGTATGTGTGGTACTTACCCCCAATTTTATAACACTGGTCACTATGGCCGCGTTCCAACTGTTCTCAATGCGCAGCAGCTCCTGACGGGTCTCCACGCTCAGATAGCGTGGCTCGTGTCCAGAACTTTGCAGCAGGAAACAATGCTGTCGACTGTCCACGGTCTCGGATTCCTTAACAATGCGAAACATGGTCTGGTAAACCTTATAGACCACCAGAGCCTTGCTTATGCCTGCCACATTCAGCTGCAATAATATGATTTCGTTTTATCAAATTGCAAATGCCAAAAATGTAATGCCACAAATTTACAGCCCCAAGAAACGGGCTTAACACAAGTAATCTAATTTTAAAGAGCATTAAGTGCACATATCTGCTGGCAATCAGGGCACTATGCACCGTCACGGGGGGAGGGAGGGTTAGAGGAGCGGGAAAGTCTATGCAGAACATGGCACATGCCGTGGGCCAACATTTTATGAAAGTTGCATTTGCAGTGCAAAGGCTGCTCATTAGAGCAAAAGTACAATTTTTATGCACGTGTGTATCTCTTTGTGTGCGAGTGCGAGTGTGTGTGCGTCTGTGTGCCAGGGTTGGACTCATGTGAGTGTATTGGGCGGTGGGTGGTTCTATCTTGACACATAAAATTAGCACAGTGTAGAGTGCAGTTGCGTTGAACAACTTTAGGCAAATGTGCACACGGTGCGCGCCAGAACAAAGCCGACTGCAAATGCAGCCATATCAAATTACATTTGAGCCCATAATAAGGCTGACAATTTCAGGTGAATTAGTGAATACAAATAAGGTACGCACATATTAGCTTTAAATTGAATACAACACTTTAAAATTACAACTATTTTAAGGCAGCAAATATTTAGAATTGTAGAGAAATAAACTTAAACTGTAGACTTATAAATGCTTTTGTTGAAATTTAAATAAGTAAAATATTTAAAATATACACTCATATATGTCATTATATATAAGGATATACATATAAGGAGTTCTTAAAACAATTCCCTGTCATTGATTTCATGTATAAACATTAAATGAAACAAATAAATTTGTAATTTAAAATTGCCCGGTCTACTGTAAATATTGCAAGCCTTACATATTTGATAAACATTTAATTTCTAACCACAATTCGCATCTAACAAATATGGTTAGATAATTGCATTGGTTGGAGCCACAGTTATTTATGCATTGGGCCTAGTTGTTGCTCCAAAAGTTTTTAATTTAAAAACAAATTATTTTGGAAAAAAATCTGCTTTAGGTAAATTTAGGAAATTCAAAAAATGTTAATTCTATATAATAATAAAACCAGAAAATTTAAGAAAGCCGAAAAATGCAATGTTAGTTTACAGCTAATTATTAATTATTGAATATTTACACAGACTTACCGGAGGCGTTTCGAATAGCATCACTTCTGTTCCTTTGAGCACTAGAAATCTGGGCTTATAGCTTTGCCACGATATGTTGTTATTGATAACACCCTCGTTCACCCAGCCCATGTACTCGATTCGCTCGCCAACGGCAAAATTTCGATTATAGAGTTTCATCTGTTCAATAAATACACAAATTTAGTTGGCATCATGGGAGGAAATAACCTGAGACGTAAGTTACCTGCAGATGGGTTAGACCCACCACGTTGTCGGTTATCAGCTTTAGCCACTGACTCAGTATCGCCAGCTCATCACAGTGTATGACCCCGGTGGTGACGCCGTTCAGGCCACGCACCTCGAAGGCATTGGGACGCAGCTTGTCCGTGCCGTAGATGTAACGCGTCACATAGGCCATCATTAGCGGTACTAGAGAGGCGAGAAATAGAGGTTCAGCTCGAGTGGGTTGGTTTGGCTGTGCGCTCCTACCTGCCACCACGTCGGTCCAGCGCTTCTCGGGCTCGGAGCAAATTGACATGGGTCGGCTGCAGCTGCGGCTTATGGTGCCGCTGTTCACGGAGGACTTGTAGCCTTCGTCTGCTTTTAGCTCGGCGCATGTGACATCGTTGTCGGAATCGGGTGTATCTTTTGTTACTATAAACATTGATTGAATGTTGTTAATGAAATTCGTTATGTTCGTCATTTCTGAGTGTGTGGTGCTCACATTGCTTCTGCAGGAACGGTGTGGCGGCGCGATAGTGCTTCACTGTGAGGACCACAATGTCGCCGGCATTGCGCAGTATGTTGACCGCATCATCGTGCGGGCATGCAGTTATATATTCGCCATTCACCTTTATAATGGCATCGCCGACAAACAGTTGGCCGGTTATGTCGGCCGCCTGATCCTTGTAGATGCGCGATATTAATATGGGCAATTTATGTTCGGCGCCACCCTTTATGCTCAGTCCTAGGCCGCCCTGTTTCTGCCTCGTTATTTGCACCATACGCTCCTGAAATGTTCAAGGATTGTTGGCCATGTTCACAGAGATTACGGCTAAGTGTTCTTAATGCATATAGCCAAAGTTTATTAACATACCTTGGATTCCATTGGGGGTCCATTGTGCTGTGAGCTTGTTGGCGTAACAATTTCCAACTTTTGCAAGGTCAACAATTCCATTGTTAGACTTAGTCTGAGAGGTTCTGGTCTACTTTTGCCATCGCTGACATGAACCATGCCCGAGCGCACCTGTTGCATGCAATTTTTGTTTTGTTTTTTTTTTTTTTTTTATGATTAATGAGCATCTGCATAAGTATTTCAATTTTTGTTAATTGCTTGGCATACCTTCAAATTTTGATCGAGTTTTTCCTCAATCGGTGTCGCCATTGTGTCCGAGAGCTTCATATTTTTTGTTTACCCAAGATTTGCTTTAAAGCGCATAAACAAGCATTATTTATTAAAACTCTATATTATACACAAGCATTATTTATTTAATTGGGATTATTTATAGCTGGTAACTTATCTCGTGTTTCCACACACAAACACTATTGCTGATTGTCGTAACTTGGAAATAAATATACAGTAAAAGCTCTCTACGGCGGACAGTGAACGTCGCGTGATTTTTGTCTGCTCAACACAAGTCTAGAGTCTTCTGCTGCCAAGCCTTGTTAAGCTCTTCAAATGGTAAGATGTAAAAAATATACAGCTAACAATACTTGAGCATTAATGAAGTCAAATCCTTCAGCACTTATTGAATATTGAAACTAATCCTAGAAACTGATATGGCTTAACAATGATTGCAATTTTAATTAGTTGCGATTGTTTGGCATTGCAATTTATGTTTTGACCCAGTTAATAACACCCACATGCACACCCACTATAGTTGAGAGGGTGTGTGTGTGTGTGTGTATGTGCGCAAGTATGTGAGGGTTTAATGACGTGTTTTATCTATAGTCAGTCTCAGAGTTATATTAGACAGACGGACAGAGGGGTGATTGTTGATCGGATGTTGTTAATATAAACTATATTTTGTCTATTTTATAGTATCGCAAATCAGCCAAATGGCGCAAAACCGCAACAAACAGCAAACAATTGACAGAGGAATAATAATAAATACACACATGCAATTTCGGCGTGGTCAGCAAGGAGAATAGTTGGGATGAGCAATAACCTACCCCACAGTGTCTAATAGAAGTAGTATATATTTAGAACAATATCAGCATTTATATGAGTACATATGTTTTCAATTAAAACGAAAATAAATATGCAACCGGAAAACATTATATTACAAATGACTGAAAATACAGACGCGATTTAAGTGCTCTGTCGGGGCTTCGAGTGTGTCTGCAGCTGGCGAAGGAATGAATAATACAAAAACAAAAGCAACACAAGTGCCGACATAAATACATAAATATATACATATGCACGTATGTTGGCAGGCGTGTGTATAGAGGTGTTGATAAGTATGACTGGCGTATGTGCACACCACTTTCACTGCCCTGGCCCACACCCGCACACCCCTCCTCTTATTGAGCATGAAAACAGATCCCCTCAATCTATTTGAGTGCCAGTGTTTGAAAGCATTTCTGGGGAAAACAGGTGTTATTCCATACGCTCAGCACATGTCGCTATTAAATGCGGAAACGAATGAAAAGTAAGAAATCTGATTTTTCAATTCCAGCGAATTGTATCTGTAAATAATACAAATAACAATGGTTACCCGGAAACCGACATTCGTGTGGCGAATAATTACAATTGCAATATGCCTGGCAACCGAGTTTAAAGACAACCAACCGAACATTTAAAGTTCTATTTGTTTTTATTTTCAACTTGACTCAGGACTTGCTCAAGCCAAAAGGTGTGGGGTTGGAGATGCTAACCGAAACACATAAATATTTCATTTGGACCCATTCAGCTGGCCTGTAAAACTTGCAAAGTACCATCGAGATGATACAATTTATGCACTTACCACAGACACACACGCACACAACATTTGTGTGTGCGTGCCACTCCGAGCTGTTGACCTGGGCTACGGCTACGGCTACGGCGATGGCTACGGCTACCTTTGATTATGGCTATATTACGTGTACTTTGTCGTGTGGCGTGTGCGTGTCTCGAAACTCGTTACGTTAGCCAGCAGGCAGAACCCAGTGGCTCCCTTTTGTGGGTGGTGGTGCTGCTGGTGGTGGTGCTCGCTCTCTGTGGCTCAAACCAAACAAGCCAACATGTTTGGTGAAAGCTGCGCTGCTCTCGCTTGGAGCGCCGTTGACAATCAGCTGTGCTGGTTAAAAGAGCAGCCCGTCAGCCAGCCAAGGGAAACTTTTGGGGGCTGAAGTATTGCACGCACACACTCGCACACACAAATCTTACATATTTATGTTCCACTGTAATTGTTGTAGTATGCACTTAAATGCGACTAAAAATGCACAAGCTGAGCAATTCGCGTACAACGCACAACAGTCAGGAAAATTGTACAACTTTATTGTTATTGCATGTCGCAAAATATTCGCATGATTGCAAATGCATTTATGTCTGATTTTTATTTGCTTGTCAAATACTTTTGAATCACGTTCGGAATTGGGTCACATTTCGGTTAGATTGTTAGATTTTGTGCATTGATTTGATTGTTATTCGCCTTGCAATTGATTAACTAACGTTTCGAGCAGTCAAAACTCGTATAAGTATGCTAACATTTTTTAATTTTCACTGTTTTCTTTGCTGCCTTTTCCCTCCTCTTGCTTCACTTCACTCTGCTTTGAGTGTCAGTTGTTGTTTTTTTTGCCTTCCGCTTCCGCTCGTAGCACAACGTTTTGTCAGGCTGTTCGCGAACGCACTGAAATTCAATTGTAAGTGAAGTCAAATGCGTGCCAAGAGAACAATTCGGGCACAACCTCTCCCTCTCTCACCCACACACACACACACACAAACACACATAGGCACATGTGGGAGGGCATGCACATGATAGCTTTGCAACTTAGCAGAGCACACGCGGCGTTGCCACCCCGTTTGAACATTCTATTTTGAATTTAAATTGTTAAAATTGTTTTGAATGCCCCGAGACTAAACATTATTAACAATTATTACTCCGCTTTCTTTATAAATTATAAATTATTAAATTTACGAATATTTTGGACCCAAATACATTTGTGTAAAGCTCTAGATGTCTGGAGTAGCTGCTCGATAAAAGTCCCGTTGTGCCAAATGCAACAGAGCTTAAAGCTCCAGGCACCGTTCACTTAAGCTTTAGTATGCTATTAAGTTTTGCTCCTTTGCTGGCATTTGAGAAAGCTTAAGCAAAAGTTTAGAATTGTTTATAGCAAAAAATTATAAAAAATAATTTTAGATTAAAAAGCTATTGACAACTTTTCTATGAAATTGCATAGAATTAAATTATAATAAAATCGGTTATTAATTATAATTGTAAAAACACAATTATATTCTTATTTAACTACACGAAGAAATAAATAATGAACATAATAAATGTTTTCCTGCATAAAAGCTCGCTCTTATATTCCGTTGGAGAATTGTTAACAAAGCTTTTGTGTCAAAACTAAGTTCCCAGCTTGCTTTGAGTTGTTTCAGTTCAGAAATGAGCACACAGATGGCGCTTTAAAAATTATTGAGTAGCTAAATTATTGAGTATAATGGTTTCTTGGACATTAATCTAGGGTGTTTAGCGGTGTGTTTAGCTATTCGTATGGGAAAGTTTAGTTTCTCTGATGACCTTTCTAGTAATTAAAGCCATGTGTCTTAATGTTATATGGCATGTGCAAAGTTAAATGAATTTTCGTTAAATGTTAATTAGAGGGCGAGCCCACTTACCTGTGCCTGCTCATTAAAACTTTGGGATTTCGACACTGGGTCTCTCGTCTCTCGTCTCTGGACTCATCCCAGCTTTGTTATTGTTTTCTTTTTGGTTCGGAGCCAAGCGAGCATTTACTTTCGCACAACAGCCACTTTGGGCTCAGTGATAAGCCGCCAAGAATAAATAGCATTCGCAAACAATGGCGGCAAAGTTAATTAATGAGTTGCACAAGTTTCGCAGATTTGCCATTACAGACACATTTCCATATGGATACAATTCGAAAATTGCCCAAGTAAGTGAAAAGGCACACATGAAGTGCCGCCGTTTGGCATGTGTTGGGGCAAACCAGAAAAACTTTTTAATAAACACTTTATTGATGGCAATTGACAATTATGCAAATCGGCCCAAAGGCAATAACAAATAATATGCGAAAGGTGACACAAACTTGAAATGATCAATTTTTTGCCTCTTGAAGTTAAGAGTTCTTGCCACATCTATGTGTCTGCGAGTAGCTAACGCACCCATGGCCGTGCCCCAAGCTGGGGCAGGCGACGTGCTGATGAAGTGACAACAAAAACAAAAACAAGCAGACAAACTTGCAAACACACAAAAATTGCCAGGGGCTGCTGCAATGCGCCCAGATGAAGGAGAAGTTCACAACGCCAACAACACCGAAGGTGACACCCAACTTAATAAACTCTGCCAGGCCGGGGCAGCCGTGGTAGCCGGGGTGGCCGGAATCGCCGAGGCAGCCCGGCAACCCGGCAGGTGCATGGATCATTTCTAGCTTGTGCTCTTTGTGTTTGCGCCTTTGTCTTGACACTCCGGCAGAGAAAGCAATCGGGTTGGGTTGGTTTTAGGTTTTAGGTTTAAGGCGTCGACATTATTGACAAAAGTTTTGCGTGTATTTTTTGAGAAGGGAGGGAGATGGTGGCTGGGAGTTGAAGGTGGCGGCAGGCGCAGCACATTTTTGTTAGCTGATTGAAATTAGTTGAAGCATAAAAAAGTTTGTTTGCTAACAATTTTATACAAAAATATTTCGTTGCAAAGTAAAATTATGACTGCTTTGCATATTTTTCGGTTACCAATGTAAAACTTTAGCCTTTCAACTTATTGGCAAATGTTGGAATTTATGGGCCTGTGCCGGCAACCGGCAACCGTCCTGAGCCAATGTTGGTTTTATTTTGCCAGCAATGAGCTGCGGTTTAACAAGCCAACGTTTCTCCATTTTGTTCTTTGTCTTTGTCCCTCTCTCTCCCTTTCTCCCTCTCTCTCGCGTTGTGCGCCTTTTCTAGGCGGTTTGAGGTCTTCTAATGGCATTAGCAGCCTGTCTGTTGACTTTGTTGAGTCTGTTATTGACTTTGCAAATGCGACGCCCTTAAAGCCAAAATGTTGCATACTACGCCCTACGCCCTACGCCCTCCACGCCCATTTGCCTAGTCTGTGCGTCAATCTTTTTAGAGGTAACGCTCAGGCATCTAAATAAAATTACGTATACGCCACACATAAACAAGCTGAAACTAAGGCGTCGTGGCGCAAATTGTAAGTGAATAATTATGTTATATTCTGTGGCCCTAATGAACTTAAGAGCGTTCCCCGGCAGCTTAGACGCATCGTGTCCTGCTCCTCTAAATCCGTGGCACGGCATTTCCCACTCGTCTACCCAGCGAAAGCTGCTGGCATAAAAAAACACCACAACAACATTATGTTGCCACTATGCAAAAGAATAGTGTATACTCTACAAGTTTATGAATAGACGCTTGGCATTGTCTATGATTATAAGACCTACGTTTGATATATGTATATATATAAAAAAAAAAAAATATATATATATATATATGTATTTTTTATATATTTTGTTTTGATTTTCCTCCAGCTATTTACTTAAACTATTCTGATGGTATTAGTTTCCTTCGAAGACTCAAGGCTATTCTATTTTTTGAGTATGTAAAATTCGAACTAGTTTAAAAATCTTACAGAAGCATGTACTTACGAGTGGATGATTTTTCGCCTTACGACCACGTGAGAAAGTAAGGTACTTATAAATCGCTGGGTCGTCATGCGAGTCCCAGGGCTGTCTTAAGTTCATGCTTTTCTCTCTGTAAAAACTACTTTATCTTATTTCCCTTAAAGACAAACACATGTGCTGCTTTCCTATAGGATGTCCACCACAGATATTTGTGCACACAAAACATGGCATGCCCCGCGGCTTTTTGGATTTTCAAAATACTCAAAGCACGTCCAGTTATAGAAAATGCGCTTGACGAAACATTGTAAACATTTAATTACGAGCGATTCTGTGTGAACTGAAGCTTCTATAGCTTATGAAAATCAATTAGCCAAGCGACAGCGAATAGTTTGTGATTTTCAATCGAATGTGATTGGCATTGGTTTGGCATTAAGCACTAACTAAATGCACTCAAAATGATATAAACGTGTCCATGCTTCGAGGCCAAAGCAAGTGGCACCGCAAACCGAATGAATGCACATATTTTGATTGTGCAACCGCAATGCAGGCCCCGGCACGTCCTGTGCTATCAAAATATTTGACCAAAGCGGGCTCTATGCAAATGCAGCAACAACATTCATTGGGCATTTGTGAAGTGCCAGAGTCTGTCTGCCTAAAAATGTGTAATGAACGGGCGGAGCTCGGTTTTCGGTGCGGGCCAGACGACATAAATCACGTACACATAAATGTATGTATATAAAAGCCACATTAATTTGAAAATATTTTTGTTAATTCCGTGTGGCGTCTTTGCAAATTGAATGTATTTGCGCAAAAGTGCAGCGAATGAGCTCACCTGCACACACACACACCTCTGCAGCTTACAGCTAAAGCACATTGAGAATTAAGTCTAGCATAAAGTGAAACATGCTGGGAATGTTTGAGATGTGCAAAAATGCAAAACAAGCCAACAAATCAAACAAGTGACAGCCAAGTAAGCCAAACAAGCAGAGCAAACAAATTCGAGCCAGAGCCCAAGCCCAAGCCCAAGCCAAAGGCGAAGGCTGAAGACTGGGCCTGAAGCTGCAGCCAGAGCCGAGCGAGTGTGGCACCAACCAGCGGCGGCTCCGACTGCAGGCACACATGCAAAGCTGATGAAGGAGTTTTCCTTTTTTTTTTTTTTGTGAAACTTCAGCACGGAAAATGCATTCAATTTGGCGTGGAGCACGATTCGAGCGAATGCATAGCAATCAAAATGCGGTTAGTTGCGTGTGGCATTGGCGACAACAACAACAACAGTCGCCGCATGAGCAACAGAAACAACAACCGCGGTAACAACACTGACAACACAATGGCAACGACAATAACAACAACAACAACAACAGCAACAATAACAAAAGCAGCTGCAAAAAATGACAATTGTCAACAATTTTAATTTTCATATACACGCCACAGGGACACGAAAAAAAAGCATAAAAACAACAACAAAAACAAGGATAACATGCGCGTTATAACAATGGTACACATGCACATACATATGTGTACATACGCATACATATGCAACATACAAATGGTTTTCAGCGAGAGTCCTTGGTAATGGATGTTTATGAGCTCATGTTGGTCCAAATCGAACAATACGGCCGCTACTGTAACGGCGTTGGCCATCTGTCTGTCCCTCAGTCTGTCTGTCTGTCTGTCTGTCCGGACTGTCGTTTGCCGTGTCCGGTCCAGCTGACCGCAATGCGACATGCAATAGTGTGGGGGGCAAATAATTTTGCAACAGAAGCGCTGTCAATCCGCGTTTTTAGTGTTTACTGTGGCCAACTAGCAGGGCCTAGTCAATGATTTGAAATGGAATTGGATTTTTTAATAGGAAGCGGTCTGCTATATACTCTACTTCAAATATTTATTAACTTTTGAACACTTTAAAAACTAGATTTAATTAATTTGCTCGCTTTACTCAACAAATTTTTAAAAACCAAAATGATTTTAGTTCAACAAGTTCCAAATAAATTTAAATCTAATATATTGCATGGCGTTTCCACTGCGGCATAGAATTG